ATGCGGACCGTGTAATTCGCTAGTCTAAAAGAAGCGTGCCCTGGATTTCTCCCCTCCCCACGGGCTGCAGAATGGGACAAAGAAATTGTGCCCGGCCCTGACCACGTAGAAGAGGGTATGATGCCAGGCTGGGTAGAAGGAATCTCAGTCCTTAAATGACATCAGGGAGCAGAGCTACCCTGCCAACCCGGACCTGAGGATAAGGAAAGTTCTACCTTACTCAGGCCAATGTATTATAGGTCTTCTTTGACAGTACAGTTGAGCCTGCCCCTTAAAAATGGATATAGGAGCAAACATTTGCTGCATACTTTACAAAGGCTTTATTATCACCTCATTTAGTTGTCACAATAACTCTCTGAGGTTTGTAGATAGTATGAGTACTCCCTTTCTTAGAGATGAAAAAAGAGAAGTTTAGACAGGCTAAGTAGCTTAGCCAAGTTTAAATAACTAGAAAGCGTTAAGGCCAATAGTGAAACCAAACGTCTGTGCCAATAAGCACTGATTATATTGGCTCTCCAAGGAAATCAGATTGGACGCTCTAAATCACTACAATTGCAATGAATTCTACCGATGTAGTAACTACAAGAAAATTCTCAAATCTCTTAAGGTTTTGGTAGAGAGGTTCAGCCAAAAACATGAGATTCATAATCAAAAGGTTATATATCATGGAAAGCTGATGACATTAAAGAAAATGTAGTGTATGAGCAAAATATGACTGTTACCAAAAAAATCATTTACCTCTAAGTGTTTGTTTTAGAAACCTAAATGTAATGCTGAACTTGCAATGGATCTCAGAGGTTATCTACTCTAACTTCCTTATTTTACAGATGATGAAACCTAGTAAAGCGTTATGTAAATGACTTGAAAAGAATTAAACATTTTCAAAGTGAAATGTCTATGGTTTTATTAATGACCGTAATTGGCATTACTGAACATTTAGACAGTCAGTAGGTGACTTTTTAGAAGAACTACACCTGATAGTTTATTATATGTGAACTGAAACTATGCTTGTTTTACTTAATATAAATTATTTTATGGAGAAATACTCACTTTGTAAATAAGCAAGTGATAGTGGCTAGGCAGTGCCACAAAATGAATATTTTACATTACATGGTATGTTTGACAGCTGCTATGAAACAATGGACTTCAAAATTTTAAAGCTGATTTAAAGTTCCATCTCTAAGAATTCATGGCCCAGAAAGCCTGCTTCTATCCTCTAACAAAGGGAGCAGTTTTTCAGCCAAATATAAGTAAGCCAGAAAAGAAGCTAGTCAAGCTGTGTAAATCTGCAATTTGAAAAGATATTTTAAGTAGAGGGACTATTACCTCCACAAGGACAGAGGTCCTATCTGTCCTGTTTGTCATTACATCCTAACAAAATGTTTGGCACATGGCAGACACTTAATAGTTGTTGGGTGAATCTTCAGGGATCCTGCTACCTACTTTTGCAATAAACAAAAGTTACAACAAAACATCCTCCTATTAAGAAAAGAAAAATAAATTTTGCCTGAAAGAATGAGAAAGATCCATACCAATAATGTAGGAATAATACAAATATTCAATGCAAAAGTATTTCCTACAGGAAAGGAAAGGAAAACAAAATGAAAGGCAAGGCGTGTGACTGCTGCCTCCAGCCTGGCAGAGTGCACGGTGCTGACTCACCGCCCAGCTGACTTTAGGGAGCATGTGGTCATAATGAGTAAACAGAGGAAGAGCCTCAAGGAGCAATGATACCAACAAAGAACAATACATTCTAGAATTTAAAAATACAGCATTTTAAACAGGAATCCATTAGATGAAGAAAACAGGAGAAAAGGTCAGTGAACTTGTTATCATGGTGTGATACTATTCCAATATAAGAAATCTAACATACATATAACTGCAGTCCCAAAAGGAGAGAAGAGAAAGAATTAAACAGAAAAAAAAAAAATATGAAGAATTAATGGCCCAATTTGGAGGAAACAAACCAAGCTACAGATCTAAGAAGCCCAATTAACACGACAAATTAAACATAAAGAAAACTACATTTAGCTCTGTCATGATCAAACTGCTAAAAAACAAAGAAATCTTGAAAGCAGTCAAAGAAAAATGACACATTACATAAAGGGAAGCAACAATATGATGGCTAACTTTTCATCAAAAATAATGGAAACCGTAAGACAGTAGAACTTTAAAGTATGAAAAGAAAAAATAAAAACCTTATAGCCAGCAACACTATCCTTCAAAAATGAAGGCAAAAGAAGGAAAATCACAATTAAACGAAAACAATTCAGCTACAGGAGCCCTCACTACCAGAAAAGCTAAAGAGGGTTCTTTAGGCTGAAATGACACCAGATGGAAACTCTTAATATACAGGGAGAATAGAGAACACTAGAAAGGAAAATATTTAAATAAATACAAGAAACTATATATTTTTTCTTCTCGTTTCTTTAAAATACATGACTATTTAAAGCAAAAAAAAAAATGTAAATTGTAACACATTATGGAGATAATTATGTTAAGTATAGATGTAAAAAGATAATGCCGCACGAAGAATATAAGAATAAATGTACTTCACAGTTACAAGATTCTTACATTTTACATTGTGCAGTAAATATTAACTCTAAGGTTGCATCAGGTGATCCCTAAACCATGACTAAAAAAATTACATTCATACCCTGTACTCGTCAGCTTCAGAACTTGTCAAACCCTGTACTCGTTGCATTTTGAAGAAGAAAAAAAAAAATGTTTCAGCACTTGGCACTTGCTCAGGACTCACTGCAGTTACTAGAACTTGTATGAGTCACAACACCGCCCCTCAAGAGAAATGCTTCATCACTCGTCACTTGAAAAATTCCTTTGGTACTTGCTGGTTTTGGCACTAGTCATGAGTTCCGAAAAGAATTAACAGCACATACTGAGGTACCACTGTATATAGATATAATTTTATTTCAAAAATAGAGAACACCACACAACTCATTTCGTGAAGCCAGCCTAATTCTGATACTGAAGTTTGGGCAGTGTGACCTTGAAACTCCTTCAAGTTTGCCTACTCATCCAACCAATATTCATAATATGTACCTTGCTCCAAGTATTCCAGCAACCTGCGCCTTTGGCTTCTCTACCAAAAGAGAAGGCTCTCTTGCCAACTTTTCCTCTTCTACTGGGAGGGAATCGTACATTATTGAGACTGATTTTATTACTAGTATGTTGCTCAGATAATTTTTCTCTAGTCAGGCATCCCCTGGCTCAAAAGAACTGCAAACCTCCTTTTGAAACAACAAAGAGGTACCAGTGAACTTCTTACCACTGGGGAATGGTTAAGGCTCCATGTGACTCTGACCAGTCCTATCACTTACAGCTCTAATGGCAGCAGACAACCTGGGTTTAATCTCAGCTGCTTCAATAATTCACTTCTATGTGTGACCTTGGGCAAATTAATTTCTCAAAGCTTCTATTTCCTCTTCTGTAAAATAAGGACAATGGCCACGCATGAAACGAAGCCAGCCCCCTAAAGCACAGTATCTGCCACACAAGGGTCAACAGCTACGATCATCATCACCCTTGAGTTTTTACTTTGATTTTTCCTTTTAAGAAAATCTTCTAATTCTTCTCCTTCTATCTGAATTAAATATGCAACCATATCGCAATTATTTATTATCTACCAATATGCTGTCCCTCTCCTTGTACTTGTAGAAGAGACAGCTTTAGGTGCAAACACAGACGAGAGGGAAGAGGAAGGAAGGGCAGAGAGAGGCAGGGGGCTACTTTTTTTTGACAGTATCACATTTCATAAAACAGGTATTTCTGAATAAAAATTTAAAACAAATTAATCTTATAAACAGGAACAAATGTAATTTCTAAATTATTCACCACAGGATTCCTTTTTAAATACGAAAATAAGGGCACACTGTAAATGATTTATTAAAACTCAACTAACAGGAAACTTTTAACAAATATCTACTCCATCAAGGTAAGTATACCCACCCCTGCCTCTGGAAATATTTCCCAGTCAGTCTCTACCTGAGGAGTCAACACCATTAGCACCACGCTCTCCTCTCTACAGACACAACAATGGCAGTCTGCTTGAGGAGAAATACACAACACAATTCAAAAGAAACGGGTAAAGAAGATCCTTCAGCAACTGAACGAAGAGGATGTCGTTCTAGTTTTTTGTTTTTTTTTTCAGGTATAACCTCCACTATAATAAGTCAATAAACCAGTAACACTACATTCTAGGTGTTGCTCAGGAAAAAGAAGGAATACCACACTCAGGAAATACACCTGTTCAAGGTAATGGCAGCTGCATACACGTCCCCGCATTTTTAGAAGAGGCACTGCTGATCGGCAGCAAGGGAGAAAGATGGAAGCCTCTGAGCTCCCAGGCAAGAGAGGAGTCTACCCAGAATCCTCCTGGATGTCCCAGCTCGAGATCACAGGGCATGCGCTCCCAGCAGTATGCACTGACCCTGCAGAGAACACATGGCAGTTCTAAAAATCTACCATACATTTCACATATACTTTACCTTGCAGATGGTGTTAACCTAGCCGACAAGTAGGAAACCACTTATTTCTTAATTCTGTGCTTACTGGGAAGAACTAAATCAATCACAACACTACCACAAGTTTTTAAAAGTTACCTAAATCTTATTTTTTGTCATTGTTTTATAAAATAAATGGAAGTGCAAAAAAAATGAATGATGCAAAAAAAATTCTTCAATCTGTATCTTTAGATTTGTATATTTTGCTATACATAAAGCATAGCTCAATGAAAAAATTTGAAAAATTCACAACAATATAAAAGAAACTATTTTTAAAAGTCTCTTAGGTATTTTACTTCAAAGGACATAAATTATTTTTATTTCTCTCTGGTTTTTGTATTTCCCCATTGAAATCTAATACACCTCTTAGGGAACATGGAAGACTTAAATCTAATATTTGACTAAACCAGCCTCTAACAAAGTAAAAATCAATAGGTTAGGCCACTTTGGAACAGTCTCCTCCTTTGGTGTGTAACTTACCACAGGAAGCGTGAGCCAGGTTGCCACAAGACGGTTGTTGATCCAGCGATACCAAGATGGGTTTATAAACATCAAAGGTAAAAAAGGACCCAGCATAAAAATGCTTCCAAAAAAGCTTCCCCAAAACAGAGTGAGTATGAAGTAAATCCCTTTCCATGACACCATGATTCTGAAAGATATAAAAAAAAAAGGGTATATTTTGTTACTAAACATATAACTGCCCAAATTCAATTTCAGAATGATGCTTAAATAATCTTTAATTATAGGGCTACAGAACAGGCTCTGATAAATGATATAAGAGCTTGAATACCACAGAGGTGACCCTCTTACATGACCTACTGGTCTAACAAGTTGTTAGTACATTCGAAATTCATGCTTTCAAAAGAGTAAATATCTGACCTCCAAAAAGAAAGCTGTCTAGTTTAGTCAGCCTTTTTTTTTTAATCTGTTTATTAGTATTAACATAGACCTGTATATTTTCTTTTCCAAGATATTATCCAATACAAAATCTTAAAGTATCCCAAAGTGTTTTTTTATATCCTACTATAGCAAACAGACTTCATGGACTAAAAGCTGCAGAGCATCTTCCTAAGGGTGACTATGCCTAAAAGCGATGACGATTTTACAGCTCACTAAAAAAAAGGTTTTTAATCTAGAAATGTTAATTATTTACATGAGAATCTGAAAGTATCTTTGGTCAATTAGCCTTAAACTGACTCTTTATGAGCTGAAAGATTAAACAGAAGTCAGACTCCTCACTCTCTTTCCTAAACTATTTGCCAAATGATTAAGAGTCAGCCCTCCATATCTACGGGTCCTACATCTGTGAATTCAACCGTGGACAGAAAATGTTCGGGGTGGGGAGGAGGGAAGTGTTCTTCTGTTGCTGAAGTACACAATATAGTTAGGCCTGTGATGGTCATATCTGTATCAAACATGCACACTTTTTTCTTGTCATTATTCCCTTAACAATTCAGCGTTAATAACTATTGACATAGCATTTACATTGCATTAGGTATCATAATCTAGAGATGATTTAACATATGTAGGAGGATGTATGCAGATTACATGTAAATACTATGCGATTTTTATCTAAGGGACTTGAGTATCCTCAGATTAGTGGGGACTAATACCCATGGATACTGAGGGACAACTGTGTATTTGTGGATCCTCATAACCAGAAGAACAAAATATTGATGTTTTAAAATTAACTACTGGAAACAGAGTCTAAAATTAATCACCAAACACTTGATTTTACAACCTAAACTATCTTAGAGCAAAAATTTGGCTTACCTCAAGATAATTAAACTATTGGAAATATTAAACTATGAAAACAATAATGATTAAGAGAATAAATCCTAAGAATTCTCATCACAAAGAAAAAGAAAGAAAACAGTAATGGCCTGAAAAGGTGAATGTTAAAAAAGATATGCCAGCAATCAAGACCTCTGAATATTTATAAAGAATCACAAAAGGAAACAAATAAAATTTCAAATGTTATGGTGCTTTTAAAAATGTCAAACAACAAAATAGGTCAAATCCCTTCACAACACAGAATCAAGTTTATCTGGGTAATAAGTATATTATCAAATCTCTACCAATACTTAACAGCATCTCTACAAAATCATTCAAGGTCCAAAGAGAATAAATATCTCACAAGAACTTTTTTCCTATCTCTGAGCTAAAAAGTTGAGGGGAGAAAGTGGAGGCGGAGAGAGACCCCTGGGACGCGGCGGAGCAACGGCGGCTCACACAGGGAGGCCCAGCGCGGCCCGGGTCCCCACACACCCGCAGCCGCCCTCTGCTGGGCGCAGGCCCTCCGCTCTGCGTTGAAACGCATTATAGGCAGCTTCTCCTCAGTCTTTAATGTCACTTAACGCTTTCCTTTTCTTTTAAAGATTTTATTTATTTATTAGTAGTGAAATAGAGGGAGAGAAACATCAATGCGTGGTTGCCTCTCATGTGTCCCCCACTGGGGACCTGGCCTGTAACACAGGCATGTGCCCTGACCGCGAATCAAACCAGCAACTCTGGTTTGCAGTCCGGTGCTCAATCCACTGAGCCACACCAGCCAGGGTTAAAGCTTTTCTTAATAGGGAAAAAAAGCTTTAAACCCTAATTACTTTTATACTCTCAAAAAAAAAAAAAAAATTCCTGCACTGCTGCTACTATGTTTGAAAACCTGTAACTACCTTTTTCTATCTACTGTTCATTTCTGCCAACTGCCCATTAGCTAGTTCTATGTTTAGATACCCCTGAACGCCCTGTGAGATGTAACATGCACTCTACAATGTATTCATAGATAACTCTCCCCCCGCCCCCGGCTCCCATCAAAGGCTCTGGCATGCTTCTTCCTCACCTACTAAACTATTTTCCATTTGATGTGAATCACAACAAATATATATAAAGGTGCTGAGATACAATCTAATAAAACCTTTTCATTTTACAGTAATGAAGCTGAGCACCAGAAGATGACTTTCCTAAATCCACATAACCAGTGAGTAGCATCAAGTCTTTTCTGCCTTGCACTTTTTCCTGCAAAGGAGCTGGGAGTCAGAGAATGGAGTCAACTTGAAACATATATATTTAAACATAGACTTAAAGGGATGTGTCACATTGATACACTGGGATTACTCAGATGAACTCTAATCTAAAATTATGTTCCATCCTATTCCTATTTCTTCCCTAACCTCTCAATTGTTCGTTCATGATTCAAAAAACATGCAAATAAACACACCCACTGTGTGCCAAGTACTGTGCTAGTCATTTCGGGACACAATAGTGACTATCACAGACACGCCAACCTCTCACAGATCTGATGGTCTCTTCATTCCCTCCTTGTGAACACCTCCCTGGCTCTGCATCTAAATCAGCCCTGTTCCATGATTTCTCCCACGTCTCAAGGGTTTGGTAGACAAACATGGTTAAGAATAATGCTACACACTTATTGAAAATACCTAAAATTTTCTCAAAAACTGGCAATATCAAGTGCTGGCTAGGATGCAGGGCAATCAGAACTCACATATACATTGCTGGGGGGAATGCAAAATGGTGTGGCCGCTCTGGAAAACAGATTAGGCAGTTTCTCAAAATGTTAACTGTACATTTCCCCAGCAATTCCACTGCTGAATATCCAGGACAAATGAAAACTGATGTTGAACAAAAAACCTGTACACAATTGTTTGCAGCTGTATTATTCACAATTGCCAAAAAATGGAAACAACCCAAATGTTAACCAGGGCGAATAGATTAACAAATCGTAGTAAATCTATGGAACAGACTACTACTTAGCAATAAAGACAAACTACTGATACATGCAATAGCGTGAGTAAATCTCAAATGCATTAGGCTGAGTGAAGGAGGTCAGGCTCAATCGGTATGACTTCTTTTTTTACTGCATGATTTCATCCATATGACATTCCAGAAAAGGCAAAACTATACGGGGAGAAACAGACCAGTGGCTGCCAAAGGTCAGGGGCGAGGAGAGGTGTGAGTACGAAGGGGCAGCACAAGGGGAGCTTGGGGGTTGAGGAAACTGCTCTGTTTCCTGATCACGGAGACGGTACAAGACTATGCATTTGTTGTAACTCACAGGATATACAATTAAAAAGTGATTTTTTTTTTTTTACTGTACGTAGATTTTTAAAAGTTTTAAAATGCTATGTAACCCTTTACCATATGCTAGGCACTGTTTCATATTTCATGTATTTTACATGCGTGAACTTGTTTAACACTCACAATAATCCCATGCTATATGTATTTTCATTGCCCCACCTTTTACGTATAAGGTCATTGAGGCACAAAGTGATTAAGTAGCATCTCAAGATTAATATAGCTAGTACAACAAATGGCAGAGCTGGGATCCGAATCCAGGGAATTTGGTATCCAAGTCCATGCTCAATCTAAAATGCTACGCTATGCTTCTTTTTCAAGAGTAGATCCCTTCTGTAATTAAACCCGCACACTTTAAAAACAATTGGTCTATAAAACAAAGGTACCACAATTCTAAACCAAATTTTTAATACCTTGTGCAAAAAGTATTTCAAACTTTAGAAGCTCACAGGAACTTAGTGAAGAAACCTAATGCCCTTCTTACCTTAACATTCCCTGGTACCTGACACAATGTGCAGCACACAAAAAAACTGGGGAGGGCTAAAGAGAGGGGTTGCCAGCTTCTGCTGGGAAAGAAGCCTGCTTCTATAACTGGTAAATTAAACGTCTAATCTTTTAAAATCCTTTAAAAATAAAAAAAAAGGCTATATCACTGAAATAATTACGGTTACTGCTACCTCATATTATTATGTATTCTTTGTGTAATACTGTACTGATGGAATTCTCATAAAAAAATTTGGATAAGAAATAATCATAGTTTTAAAATGGCACACCCATTTTATTGCCAACAAGAGATACAGAACACAAAACTGTCAGTCATCTTGAAAAGCTATGCCTGCGCTTCAGTGTGACCTGAGGACTGCGCCCCACAACACTGCTGGCCCGTCAGTGAGTTGCACAGATCTCTTACCCTACTAACTTCCTAGCTCACAACGTGATTCTGATTCTGATGCTTGCCCATGCTCTCTGGCCATCTAGCGTTCAAACAATCACAATACCAAACCAAGGCAAAATAGAGTTCGGGAACCAAAACAGCCCACCTGGACTCCTTATTCAGTTGCACATATTATTCCTGAGGCATGACAATGTAGGAGGATACTCCCTGACAAGGATTAATGGAATCCATCGGGAGTACCTACATACAGTTCTTTGCTCAGCAAGGAAACGCATTTTACTTCATAAAACCTCCTTAGTTATTTTATTCACATAACAATTCCAATGTTAACCAGTGTTGCTCTCAGAGTCTAATACCGAAGCTAAGTGTGCTAAGAAAATATTGTAATTCAATGTGACACATGCTATAATAGAGGTATAACAGAAGTATGCAATGGCTATAAGAGTAGATCAAAGTACGGCCAGGTGAACTCTGCTAAAAGAGATTAAAGGCATTAGGCTCTTGGAGGACACGCGTTTGCGAGAGGAGAAAGATTATTTTAGGCTGTAACACATGCAGAGTCAGAGAAATTTGAAACAGCATGGTTTAAGCAGGGAACTCTAACTCATTAGATATGAGGTATAGGGTACACACCATGGAGCTGCTAGAAATCACAAGGACAC